ATGACGGCTATCTCTCTTCTCCTATTCGTAGCTCTCATCTCAGCCGCTCCTCACCATCTATTTCAACGTCACCATGCCAGAAAGCTCTAACTCTAACGCTACTGTCGCGAATATGAAACCCTATGCAATTACCAACATCAAATCCTATATTCCACTTACCCTTGATTTAAACCATTTCATTTATGATTTATGGAGGGTGTTGTTTTAAACTCATTGTACCAAATTTGGTGTCCTTAGTCACTTGATCGACGCCTCCAAACCCACCGGTACCAAAGGTACCGAGTGGCACACCCTCAATTCTCTCGTAAAGATGTGGATTCATGGTACTTTAACCCAATCTCTCCTCAACATGATGACCAAACCCGAATTACCACCAACTCCATTTGGTTAGCCATCCGAGCCTTGTTTTGTGATAACAAGGATGGTTGTATTATTGAACTTGACATAGAGCTCCACCTAATGATTATGGGAGATAATTCGATCAACGAGTATTATGAGAAGATGAAGGTCACTGCCGAAATTCTAGCCAATATCGGCTCCCTGGTACCAGAAAACACTCTCGTTGCATACTTCCTCAATGAGCTCTCACCAAAGTTTAACCACATAGTCACCGGCTCACCGTTATCGGCCATAAAGAACTGCTCATCCATCATCTTACACTTTCTTTGAAGATCCCTCACCCGCCTCTTTTATCTCATGGATCCTTCGTGAGTCTCCCACCACCACCTTTGAAAATCATCCCTTAGGCTCGGCTTCTCACAACCCACCTACTTCCTATTCATCTGATAGCAACATGGATTTTGATACGTTATATCCGTTGTTAACTCCCAATATCGGCAACCATCTTCTATGTTGGTTACTACTACAACAACTCATCCACCTCCTCCTACTCATCTCATGATGACTCGAGTCTAATGTGGTTTCTAAAAACACATTTCACACTACCACCGAATCTCTAATGCCTAAATCACATCTTGATGCACTTCGTGACCCTAACTGGACCACTAACATGCAAGATGAATTTGATGCTCTTATTTATAACGGAACATGGAAACTTGTCTTGAGGCCCCAATGGGAGAATATTGTTAGATATATATATGGTTGTTTAAAAACAAATACAAGGCAGATAGTTCTTTAGACATGTATAAATCTCGCTTAGTGGCTAATGGCAGGAGTTAGAGACTCATTTATGAACTCGACGTCAATAATACTTTCTTGCATAGTCAACTGAATGATAAGTATGCATCATCCACCTGGATTTCACCACCCATATCATCTGAATTGCCACTTACAGAATTGCCTATATGGTTTGAAAGAAGCTTCGGGAGCATTATTCTACCGGTTTATAGAGTTCATCACACATATTAGATTTCTTCACATGAAATCTGATTCATCCTTATTTATCTATCAGAACAGTACTGCCACTACATACCTACTCGTATATGTTGATGATATCATGCTAACAACATCCTCGGTCGATCTAATTTGGCGCATCACTTCTCTTCTATCTATCGAGTTTGCCATGACTAATATGAGTAACCTGTCATATTTTCTTAGTATTTTGGTTGCATAAGACCACTCAGACTTGTTCCTTTCTTAATGAAAATGTGCGTTAGACCTTATTGACCATGCTCACATGTCTTCATGCAATCCGCTTCGCACAATTGTTGATATCCAAACGAAATTGGATCATATAGGTCCTTCGATCAAGGACTCGACTTTCTATCGCAGCCTTGCATGTGGCCTTCAGTATCTGACCTTCACCTATCTTGTCATAGCATATGTCGTGCAGTAGATCTGTGTCTATATGCATGATCCCTAAGAGCCTCATTTTGATGTTGATTTGGAGTATGTCCCGCTTCGTGTCGTTCTATGCATGGGTACTATGTTTACCTCAACAACAACTTGATATCTTGGTCGTCTAAACGCCAAGCTACTGTTTCTAGATCCAGTGTTGAGCGGAATATCAGGGAGTTGCACACGCAGTCATTAAGACATGATGGTTGTACATTCTCCTTTGGGAATTACACTGTCCGCTGGTAAAAGCTACAATTGTGTATTGTGACAACGTTAGTGTAGTCTACTTATCGACTAATCTAGTGCATCATCAGCGCACGAAACACGTTGAGATTAACATTCATTTCGTACGGGATAAAGTCGAAGCTAACAAGTTCACGAAGAGACTACCGACCTCTCTTTTCACGGACTTTAGAACCAGTTTGATTGTCCGTTCTCAATCTTTCGTTTAAACGAATAAAGTGTATTGGTGTAACTACATTTGTTGTATTATTAGCCCCTATATATATAGTTAGCCGAGTAGTGTTGTAGCCCAATCTATTGTATATATTTATGATTCAATGAAATCTCATGGGAAAATATACCAAACATTAATATAATTAACGTTAAAGATTTCATAAATATTTATCTTGTAAAAACATGAATGGTACACAACTTGATGGTGGGAAATGGGATGAAATCCCATTGCATGAGCCGTATATACAAGGGTTTTTTATTTTTTATTTATTTTTTTTACAAATAATATTGTCAAAGTTATGCCCTCATTCAAAATATACTTGCATATACATATGATACAAAGTTGCTCTAATAAAATGAAAGCTCACATGTCAAAGACTCTCACTCTCGGTTTGCTGTTTTATCAATGAATTAATATTCAACTAGTTTTTTGTTAAACAGTATGTCTTTTCAGTTATATTTCAATCGGTTTTTAAATTTTTTAATCGGTGGCACAAGGTACATGAGCCGATTAAACCGGTTTAGTTCTTTTAAAGTACATAACCCGACCTCAAAAGTATTGTTGATTTTTTTATTGACTTCACTTAATTTAGGAACCACGTGATTTTTTGTTCTAGATTCGTTACTATTTAGAGATAAATACAAACTTTGGAGTCATTACACACCATGACAAAGCCATAACGATCTTTTTAGAACCTTGACTAAAAGTGATTTGTAGTCGTTTTACTAATATTTTTGTGTGGAGGCTTTTTTGTCCAAGAAATGAATACTTTTGCAAATTAATATTATGGATTAGTTGGAAAAGACTAACTAGCATTTTTTTAATAAAGAAAATCCATATGTTCCCTCACTTTTCTTTCCAATGTCTATGGTATCATTTTTTTCGATTTTTACATTAAATTTACATAAAACGTTTTATTTATACTAACCGAAAAAAAAAAAAAACATGGTCGTGGACCTTAAAGTTACCAACAACACCCGTGGAACTTAAAAATGACAATTTTTTATATCAAAGATTTAACGTACTAGATATAAACATCACTGATCACAATACAATAAGTATATAAACATCACTGATCACAATACAATAAGTATATCAGTTTGTACGCTTATTGTTTAGACAACTCCTTGCAGCTTTGATTAGTCAACCGAAAAAAGTCCAACACATTTAATCAATTATCAGTTTTTAATTTATTTTAGAACAAATTAAATGCCTCTTTTTATATATTATCTAGTCGGTTATGACTTGTATGTATTTGACATCACTATTACCAGTATTTAATCCATTTTAGGCTTTTAGCACAAATAAAATGCCTCTTTTATATATTATCTAGTCGGGTATGAATTATATTTGACATCTCTAATTCAAACATTCAAACTTGTTTTGTGCTCCGGATGATTGTTACATGTGACATGTAATGAAATATTGAAATAGATTACAAATACTCTTTACACATGCCATGACGAGAAATTCAGAATAGTATTCATTGTCTTCAATACTGAATGCAAATGTCCTTTTAAGGACAGTTCTATTTTTGGTAGGGTTGATCAAAATTTCAAAATTAAAGAGTAACAATTAAAATCACCGACTAAAAAACAAAAGTTAAATAAACAACAATAATGATCTTGATAAACTTGAAATACTAAATTATGAATGTTTTATGGATACTTCATGAACTCTATAGTTTTTGTTCATATAGTTTTTTACACTTTAAAAGTTATGAATGTTTGAAGTTGGATCATGTTTCCATACTGTAACATATCCATGAGTTTAGACATGTTGCTCGACTTGCTCCATACCAAATTTTATTTCCTGTTTAAACTTTAAATCATACATAATGAGTCATTGTTGGAGTTTTTTTTTATTTATTTATTGTAGATTTCGAAGTTATCAAGTATCAATATAGCTAAGAGCCTAAATTGGGCTTGACAATGGATTCATTGGATTGATTGCTTTGGATCACTAGCGGGCTACTGGACATTTACCTACATGATAAACAACCACTATCTTGTGCAATACATTAATACAATAATAATAATAATATAATACAGCAATTGCGATGCAACTACACATGTAATATTATATACAACATACATGGCATATATCAAAGATTGTAATACTTGTGACATTTTTACATCCTTCTATGAAAAAGTGTGTTTCCAACACTAACCCACCACAGAAGTCTAGTATTATTGTGTGACAGTGTGAACGCTTTGTATATCTGTTATGGCAATTACAATTAATTAACACAGCAATCGTCATTTGATTGTATATATTGTCAAACTAAGCAATTTATATCAGTTGTTTATTTCAGTAATTATCACCAATTTCATCCTAATTTAGATTTATATTCGAACCCAACTACTTAACTAACCAGCATAGGTGATGTTAGGTATGAACCCAAGTTATTGAATTAACCAAATCATGAAAGTAGTACTTATTCCAACTTGAATTCATGATAAACATGATACATCATTAATGAATTCAATACATGACATCAATTTACTAAACCTCTAACATGAAGATGGCATGGGTACGAATCTTGACTACAATAGCATCTAAACAACTTGAATTCATGATAAACATGATACATCATTAATGAATTCAATACATGACATCAATTTACTAAACCTCTAACATGAAGATGGCATGGGTACGAATCTTGACTACAATAGCATCTAAACAACCAGTAACAGAGATGATCGTACCTCATATTAAGGTTTAGTTACTCCACATGAGTTAATATTCATAAAAAACTCGACTTCCAGCACAAATAGCGATCCCTAACCACCCCTGGTACATCAATGATCGATGTAGTCCCACTTCTTGAATCGAGTTTAATCTTCCAAGCTCGTCTATAATTATCCCGATGAAATTGATTTTTCCTGTTTTGCCTTCGGAAGTGATAATGCAGCAAGTACAGGGAGAACTCCCATTGATTTCCTGTAGATTCATCCACTTCTTGAATGGATTTCCGACCACCAGGTCCGCCCTCGGCTCCTTGCGTTGCCCTAATACCACCTATCGCCACCCCTGCTACACCCTCCTCCTTCTCGATCTCTCTTTCAATCACACCCATTCTTTCCCGCATCTTCTGATTCTGTCTACTAACCCACTCCCAGGATCTGTCGTGCTCAACCCCACTGTTTGCGATCGGCACACATTGAATATGCGTGTGTGTGTCTAGTTAATTTCCGATCGAACAAACCCACTCTAGCCTAAATGCTTAATCATGTTTATTTTACTACTAGCTGTGAGACCCGTATGTTATACGGGTTTAGTAAAACAATATATATATATATATATATATATATATATATATATATATATATGAAGGTTTAAACATAAATTTATTTAAATTTGAAATTTTAGATTTGAAATTTAAAATTTAAAATTTGAATTTAAAAGGAAACATATATAAGTATTAATATTGTAATTTATTGACTATTATTAATTAGGGCAATTATTAATTGATGTGTAAATTTGATTTGTTAATTAAGAAAGGATAAAAAATGACAAAATGGCAAATAGAAAAAATATTTATTCAAAAATACCAAAAAATGACACGTGTCCAAGTTAATGTAAGAGTGACAAGTGGCAAAAAACTTTCATTTATTAGAAACTAGGTTATAACTCGTGTATTACACGGGGTCTGCAAAGTAAAACAATTTTGAAACTTAATAGACATAATAATTAATAATATAAATCATTGATGTGAATGAGCCGTTTAAAATAAAGGCCATTTAAAATATAAGTCATTGAAACTTAAAACAATCTTAAAGGTGTAACCATAGTTTGACCATAATACCCTTACACTTCAAAATAAAAGTTATTGATGTGAATGAGCCCTTTAAAAATCATGAATTGATATCAATGTCAAACATATGGTTTTTAAGACTATCAAACATCAATTTAACATATTAAAAGCATATCTGTCTTTTCTTGATGTTTTGAAGATGATAACAAACTAATATCTGTTAACAACCTACTAACAAAAAAACTCAAAAACTGATAACAACGTACTAAACACTTTTGGGAAAACTAATCTTTGAGTTCCAATTCCAAGTCTATAGCATCTGCTTATAGATATATTTAAATCAAATCCCCTACACAAACAAATATTCACTTATGAATTCCGAGGACAAAATTAATACTTTATAAAGTCAACTTGTAATATTGTTTATCTTTCATTATAAATAGTTTAGGTTTTTGGGAAGAATTAAAATACTAACCTCCATCTTATGCCTTATCTTTCATCATAAATAGTTTAGGTTTTTGCATCTGCCTATAGATATATTTAGATCAATCCCCTTGTCTTCACAAAATCGCAAAACCAAAGTACTCTGATTCGAATTAGCACGTTGATACATATTAATTGTTAAGCAGATACATTTGCAATAATAAAAATGGTGATGCATACCTGATGCTAGAAATAGAAACGTACCACAACCTACCTACTTATCAGCACCTTGGCAAGGTAAAATTAACCTGCGTTCACACGAAAATCACAAAAATTAAGTAAAAATCTGACATACTGGTAAAAATAAAAATAAAAAGTTCATTAGTAAGAGTTTGTTGGTTCCTTCAAATAAAGAAAATATTTTCAAAGATCGAGAGAAAGGGGGTGTCTTCTATAGCAAAAAGAAGTAGAAAAAAAATCAAGAGATGTGTGTTTTACGGAAGCTGATTTTGGGAGGAAGAGCAAACAGTGGGTAGTTGAATACTTAGGGTTTTGATGGTGGAACATGGTAAGATCATGAGAAAAAAACAGACGTGGATGGAATTACATAAGAGGCTGCAAATGAAATTACTCAAGCGGCTTCAAGTTGCCTAAAAATGTCATCATTTATATTAAAAATGTTGAAAATATAATATGATTACAACAATATAAAAGAGCACGGTATGAACATTGGGCCAGTTTTAAAGGCTTCAAGTTGTCATCTGATAGGTAGGACACAATTAAAAACTGTCACACCCCCGAACCAGACGGCGGAAACGTCCGAGGGCTCGCGTGACTTAAATTGAAATATCATCACAATGAATATACATGAAACATAACACATTCATCACCAAACATTACATAGTACAACTGTCATTGTTTACATCAAGTACATGGTTTACATTACATGATCCCTAAATATAAAGTGTTTGGTGATTAGCAACTACAAAAGAAACTTTCAACACACTGGATGCTTCCTCGTTCTAACGATTACCTGAGAATACAAGTTATTTTGAAAACGGTCAACATATATAATGTTGGTGAGTTCATAAGTATGTTTGATGTAAAATAGTTTATGTTGTTCGTAAAAACCCAGAAAATCCGATATTTTCTGTAATAAGACTTTTCATGAAAATGTTGTGATGATCCTGTAAGTATATGCGTGAATGATTTCAAAACGTGTATAAATGAGAAGTTTTGCAGTATAGTTTTTGAAAATACAAGTGAGTAATATTGGTTTCCCCGGAAAACCCGATGTTTTCCGATAAAATATTATGATTGTTTTGTATTATATTGTATCGTCACAGCGAATGAATATGATTTCCCCTGATTACTTAGATGGTATTGGATCTCTATGTGAGTTGTTATAACCATGCATGATAATGACTAGTTCGTCTGTCTTGGCATTCTAATGAACACCGGAATTGATCTTAAGATTTTGTCACCCTAGACTGGCCGAGTCTAACTGTAGCGAACAGCTTAGGTCTGGGGGAGTCACCCCCGTATAGATCTATACACAAAATCTCGCTCTCCCTCCAGGAGACTTTGATTACAACTACAAACTACGACCGACACTTATTGGTGTCGCCCGTTATTACTCGCTTAATCCAAATGAATTTGATTAACCTTGATTAATGACCTGATTTTAGTTTACTTGAAGAGAAGGTAAGCCTAACAGACGAGGAGAAGATGACTACTAGGCCCTACTAATTACGTATGTTATTTAAGGCTGTCGAGTATACGAAAGACACGTTGGCCCATTTCGCATAAGATTTATTTGGACCTTACTAGCAATGCTAATGGGCCACTGAGGCCCAATAGCATGTAAAAGCCATTGAGGGTCCCTTAAGCATGTAATTGGGTCACAGGAGGCCCAATAACATGTATTATTTATGTTGGGCCCAAAAGTCATGTTAATGAGTCACGAAGGCCCAATAAGCATGATTAGAATCTTTCAAGCCCAACAATTAGAATGTTTACTTGTTTTGTATAGTATTAGTGTTGCGAAGTTGTTTAATCGATATGTCGTAATAATCACCAATTTGTTTTATAACGATTCATAGATTTATAAAAATAGTTATTTTTCTATTTAAAACCCATAAGTTATAAAGTTTTGTATATTTTGACCCAATTATTTTATTATTAACATAATTGACTAAAAATATTAGTTTGACCAATTCAGCCCCTTATTTTGGTAAAGTTGGCAATTTTTAGCCCTTTTATGAAAAATGACATATTAGGTCCTTGAACTATTTTTCTTGACATTTTTGACCTAAACACTTAATTAAATGATGTTTTTGTTGGATAAGGTGTCTAAGTCCATAACTTATTTGGTATATACTTGACCCGACCCGGCATGGTCCATTTAGGTTGCACTTCACCCAAACTGTTTATGGATAATTTTATGAGAATTGTATACTTACGATTTATTAATATATTATAAGTTATAATATATTAATATAAAGTCATGTTATTTAATTAGTTTTAATCTTGAATTAATTATGAATTAATTTAGTGATTAAAAGGAAGACTAATTAAATCATGGGCTATTGTATTTATATGGTGTGGGCTAATGCTCATTTGTTAATGGGCTAAGCTTATATGGAAGTCCATGGATGATCCATGGAGCTTTTAACCCATTGATCCTTGGAAGAGGAAAAGACATGGGTTATTAGGGTTTCACCCTAACCATGCACACTATATAAACAAGCTTATGTTGCATGAAAAACACCCTTGTGTGTGTGTAATAGTGGTGGCCGATTTCTAAGTGTTAGTATACTCTCTCATATATTTTCCAAGTTTGTGGTGATTTGTGATTTTCATTTGAGGCATTCACATTATTGGTGCTTGGCTCTCAAACTCCAAGGAATCAGCAATCAACTAGAGGTATGTAATTCATCTAGTTCTTTTATGTTTAAAAGTACCCCATGTCATGCTAGATAGGTTATAAACCTTGGAATTAATATTTTGCATGTACCTTAGACAAACATAGATCCAAGGTTTATTAGGGTTGCATGTACACTTAGGAAGTGTTAGAATGCTCAAAACCCAACAGTTTTAAGCCCAAAATTTTATTTAGGACAGTTTCAGCCCCTTAGTTTAAAGATTTGCATTTAAATCCACACTTTTTGCAATTTTTACAATTTTTACCCAAAATCCAAACTCTTTGCATTTTTAGTCCCTTTTAATAAATAAGGCCATTTTAACCCCTGAAATAGGTTTATATACGTTTATAGCCCTGTTTTGAGAAACTTTCCATTTCAGCCCCTTTAAATTGATTTTTTCGCATTTTTTGGGCCTAAATAGTCGAAAAGCCCAAATTTTAGCCCATTAGGCTAAAATTTACATTTTTAGTCCTTTAAAAAGCCTAATATTTAGAAAACTCTTATGTAGCTGTTTTGACCTTTTGATCCTTGTAGAAACCGTGAATGACATCTTTTTCCCCATCTTTTGTTTATTTATCAAAAATGGTCCAATAATAAAATTTTATGTTGTAGTGTGTTTATTTTAAAGCTTGTATAGTAGGTTATCTTGACATGTTAAGTGAAATATGACCTAGATCACATATTTTTCCTTCTTGAACTATAGATCTCGAAATATCTTTCATTTTTAGCACATATTTACCACAAAAACACAAGAAATCACACATAACATACAAATACACATAGATCTTCGCATTTTACTTGTATTCTCCCCCATAAATCATATGAAAACCGAAAATAGAGGGGTATGAACTCACCTTAGGTTTGTGGGTTCGGTTTTGAAAAAAGAAATGGAAGAGTTTGGTCCTAGCAACTTCCTTGAGTAAATCTCGAACTCAAGAAGATTTCTAAGAGTATAAACACCAAAAACTTTGTGTAAAGGAATGATCT